ATCTGAAGGACTATGTAACCACTATTCATCAAGGACGATAGCAAGAACTTTGAGGGGAGGGGTGTTGTGTTCTTTTGTATTCCCCCCCCTTAATCCCCTATGCGCATCCTGATCACCCATTAAGGGTGATTGCCCTTCTCCATCTGCATACAGTTTCATGCCCGTTGCTGGTTGGCTAACTCGCAACGGGGTCTTACCAACCAATGGAATTGTGTGATTACGAGCCAGGGGAATCCCATAAAAGAGGGCTCCCCTAGCCCAGATGGCAGTCCGGATTTACTTTATGCCTTGCCAATAAACCGAGAGCTGACTGTCACTCGACTCGTATCTTACTGCCTGCGCGATCTAACAATATTTATATTTCATAAATCATTTGGAATGGCAAAAAACTCCTGAAAAAACGTTTAAAGAAGCTTTCTTTCTTTAATGATCACAAATGATCACCACAAACTTGAGGTATTCATATGGTAACCACTGTGTGTTTGTTAAAATGTAGTAAATTAAATCATCATCATCATTTTAGCTATTGTCTATCCACTATTGGCTTCTTCTGCATGTTTCCAACCAATACAGTCCTGAGCTTTCTTTTGTTAATTGGGCCCACAATACTTGCTAATGTCGTCACTCCATTTTGTTTTAGGTCTCTTTTGTGGACGTTTTTTATCAAGTGGAATCCATTCTATGGCTGCTTTAGTCCACCTGCCATCAGTTCTTCTTGCTATTTGACCAACCCACTTCCATTTCCATTCTTTTATTCTCTAGATGATATTGTATACTTTTGTTTGTTTTCTAATCCATGTGCGAGTCATACTATCTTGCCTTGTAATGCCGAGCATGTATCTTTCCATGGCTCTTTGCGCCACTTGTAGCTTTTGTATCAATTGTGAGGTTAGTGTCCATGTTTCACTGGCATATGTTAGAGCCGGTAGCACACACTGATCAAAAACTTTTCTCTTCAGGCATAGGGGGAGGCTGTTCTTGAAAATTATGCTTAGCTTGCCGAATGCCTAGCAACCACATTTCAATTTCCTTTACTGTATCACCTACCATTGAGATCCATTGGCCAAGGTATATGTAGTGGTCTACTACATCTAATTCTTTTCCAGATATAAACATTTTTTTTTCTTTGAGTAAACTAAATAAAAATTCTAAACAATTGGTAAAGTTCATCAGCCAATGGTAATATTGACCATATTTAAGGTATAATTCTTGTTATTTGTGATGAAAGATTTATTTGTAAAATCTGAGGAGATAAAATTGTTTCAATCCCAAACTACAGAATAGTGATAAAAGGAATTATCAAACCTATAATTCATTCCATACTTATTAGTTCTGCTTGTTTCTCTGAAAATAAAGAGGTAAATGTTTTATAGATATTGACAACATCATCCATTTGCTGTGCAAGAATGTTTCCTCATGGCTGTGCTGCAACTGTCATGATAAAAAGTTTTGTCTTATCTCTTTTTTACTTATCATGGGATCAAAAGAAACATAGTGGGAAGAAACCACACTACGTTCATAGACACATGCACATTCACATGTAGCAAAGCATGAAATCTCCCAGTATGGCCATAATACTGTCATAAGGAATTATTTGTGTAACTGCACTTTAGGAAACATGGGACAATTTGTGTAGTTATGTGTGTATGTTTTTATGTATACATACACATACACATACTATTTGTTATCCATTATCTATCCTCTATATAGTATAGTGTAAAGTAGTGGCTTGCAGATTCAATCAAAACATAGCAATATTTAAAATACAATAATATGTACAGGATCCCTTCAACTTTGATAAAAAAAAACAAAAATAATAAAGCAGCAAATTTACTTTGAAGGCCTCTGGAAATGTTGCTACAGGTAGTCTCAACTTACAACCACAATTGCAACAAGAACTTCCAACTTCCATTGCTAAGTGACGTGGTCATTAAATGAGTTACCCCCAATTTTATGATCTTTATGTTGCAGTTGCTAAGTGTGTAATGCAGTCATTAAGCAAATCCAGCTTCCCCCATTGACTTTGCTTGTTGGAAGCCGTCCAGGAAGGTTGCAAATGTGATCAAGACATAAGGCATGGCAACCATCATGTTGGTTGGTTGCCAAGCATCCAAAATTTAATCATGTGACTGCAAAGATACTGCAATATTCATGTAAGGATTGATTGTAAGTGACTTTCTTCAGTGCCATTGTAACTGAATAGCCATTAAAAATACTTTAAGTCAAGGACTAAGGACTATCACAGATGATACCACTCTAATGGCAGAAAGTGAAGAGGAACTAAAGAGCCTCTTGATGCGGGTAAAGAAGGAGAGTGCAAAAGTTGGCTTGAAACTCAACATTAAGAAAACCAAGATCATGGCATCCAGCCCTCTCAATTCCTGGCAAATAGATGGGGAAGAAATGGAGATAGTGATAGATTTTATCTTCCTGGGCTCCAAGATCACCACAGATGGGGACTGCAGGAAAGAAATTAAAAGACTCTTGCTCCTGGGGAGGAAAACTATGGCAAATCTAGACAGCATACTAAAAAGCAAAGACATCACCCTGCCAACAAAAGTACATATAGTCAAGGCCATGGTTTTCCCAGTTGCAATATATGGTTGTGAAAGTTGGACCATAAGAAAGGCTGAGCGCAAAAGAATTGAGGCCTTTGAACTATGGTGCTGGAGAAGACTCCTGCGAGTCCCCTGGACTGCAAGGCGATCAAACCGGTCAGACCTAGAGGAGATCAACCCTGACTGCTCTTTAGAAGGTCAGATCCTGAAGTTGAAACTCAAGTACTTTGGCCACCTAATGAGAAGGAAGGACTCAATGGAGAAGAGCCTAATGCTGGGAAAGATTGAGGGCAATAGAAAAAGGGGACAACAGAGAATGAGGTGGCTGGATGTAATCACTGAAGCAGTAGGCATGAGCTTAAATGGACTCCAGAAGATGGTACAGGACAGGAAGACCTGGAGGAACATTGTCCATGGGGTCGCAATGGGTCAGACATGACTTCGCAACTAACAACAACAAGGACTATCATTACAGTAGAGAGTAAATGAGATAGGCCTCCCTAGACAGAAGGTTCAGAGTCTAGATGCAGCCACTACAAAGGCACACTTCCCAGTCTGAACAGGATCAATATCAGGCAGATTGAGAACCACCAAACTTTTGAGTGATTTATAGGTGAAAAGGTCTTATTTTGACTCTAAACCATTCTGATTTTTTACCTGGAAAACAAACTGGAAGCCAGTCAAGTTATTTCAATAAAGAAATGACATGCAACTCTCTTTATGAGCACCTGCTAATAATAGGGCTTCAGTCATCTGGACAACAGTGGTTTCCAAACAAACTTATGCCTGTCAGTCTTGCCTTGTCCAGCCTGACTTTGCCATTTTCCCCTCAAGAATGGGATTGATCTCAAGTCAGAAGGGGCTTTGCTTTGATTTTTGTTGCCAGCTAAGCAACAAATAATTGAAGTTTAGACTTCTGCATAACTGAATTCAGAATTGTAAATCTCAAGTAGAGGGGCATGTGTATGCATACATAAATACTATATACATACTGTATACACATATATGTACACTGTGAGCTTATGCACTGGAGACAAATGCACACACACACACATATACACACATTAAATTAAGTGGAGGTGTGTGTGTCCGTGTGTGTGCATGTGTTTACTAACTGAACACTTAGCTATCTTTTTTTTAATATGGATATACTCTCTTATTTTGAACACAAATAGAGGAAGAAATCCATAATATGGATTTAGATAAGCAATATTTTTACCTTAGATGCTTATATTTAAAATTAATCATTAGTAGTTTTCTCCATCTTTTTTCTCTCTTTTATCTTCCCCTAATGCAATCTTTTTACTGTCCTCTCCCCATTCCATCTATCCTTTTTCTTTTATCTCACTTCCTTTTTAAAAATGTGAACAATAGAAAAAGCATCAATGAGTGAAGCCAACTGTGAGTTTCAATCCATTTACTGAAGACCAAAAACTTATATGGCTTGGCATTACAGATAAGTATTCCAGGTACACTCTCTGTTTAACTTAAAGATGTTAAAATTTTAAAGCCTAAGTCAAGTTAGCTTTCCTCCATACCTTTATAAATTTAGTTCTTCATTATGACATCATTTTGGGGAAACTGAACAGATTTTTTTTAAGTTAGAGGGTTGCCTGATATTTTCTTTAAATCTGAACATTTATTTTATTTAAGACAGAAAAGAAACATGAAAAAGAGGCTTTGTCAAAGAGAGTACAGACTTAAATATTCTTTTCCCAAGTATAAGTGAAACACCTTATGCATGACAAAGCAGAATCAACCCATGTACCAACAATCTTACCCAAAACTCTTTCATTTCTAGAATTTGGCAATCCTCCTGTGCTAGTTGAAAGATCTTCTGGTACAGGCATGGGCTCATCAGCATCGTCTGGAGCATCGCTTACTGGAGGACTTTCTTTCCCTGATAATAAAAGAGCAATCCCACTAAGTTAGGAAAGGTATCTGCTCTCTGTGTATTTCTTTTCAAATAAGATACAGATAATACTGATAGTGATTCCAAGACCATAAAAAAACAAGGCAAATCATGATGTTGGTTTTTGATTGGCAAGTATTTTAAAACTAAAGACAGATTTTGAATTGAACAAAGCCTAAAGATTAGTAAGAATATTTGCTGCTTCTTCCATTTACATCACGTGACAGTGCAAATAATTTTATCGTTCTTTTCAATTCTTTTAACACATTGAATTGGAGCCAGGCTATTTTCAATTAAATCCTATTGAAGTCAACAACATTTGTTGTAATGATTAACTTTTTATATTGATTTGTATGGCCTTAAGAGCAACCAAGTTAATATATCAGACAGCTGAACAAGGAGAATTGGATTATGGAGAATTTGGAATATCTTATATATCTACTATTTTAAAATAAATTTGCAGCTATTTTAAGGCAGGGAGCCATTCTGCTTTCTCCGTTTGTCAGCCAATATGTTATTGATCCTTTTCCTATTTATACAGGCAATGGAAGTAGAAGAATTTCCCTGTTGTTCAGTCCCATGTTGTTAGGAAGTTTCTATCTGTTAGACATTACTTGTTGAATGGCTCATATGTATTACAAATGATTATTGGGCATAGACTCCTATTTCATAAAAAAAGGACAGATAATGTTGATTCAGAAGGAACTATCAGGATCTGAATCAGTCATTCAGGGACTATACTAACTTGAGTACACTTGAAACTATGCCTATCTAGAACCTTGCATACACAATACCCCTTCCCACATGCATATATACATATCTTCATCTACACATGCATACAGGAACATGACACCTTAACCTCTTTCAGAAGTGGAAAGAAATGATATTAATGCAATGCAATGCAATGCAATAAAACTTATGTGCTATTCCAAATCAAGAAGATGAAACTATGGTGCTTTAGGTATCTTTTCCCATAATTTTGGCCTATCTTTTCCTACAGGAGGAAAATCATAGTCTTTCATTGCCATTAGCAGCAATAAATTACAGTAGCTTCAGGTGATAAAGAAGAGGAAATTATTTATTTATTATTTAGTTATTAAATATGGATTCTTACTGAAGACCTATTAAGGAGTACACATGATAAAAAGCTTAGCATATGGCTAAGATATGCAAATTACCAAGCAGAAACATCCATTAAATGTGATAAATATACACACTGAGTTATTATATATTTTATCTGTTAACATGTATTAACATGGCACTTAACATGTATTCATCTCATTGTGTGATCTGTAGATCATCTAACATCTTATATGGTCCTGGTTTCTAATACCTTTTGAGAAACATTTTTTTCTAACACTATGTATAATTTTATATATGTGTGTGTGTGTGTGTGTGTGCGTGTGTATGTTCTAAGGTTTTCGCGGGTGTTTGTATGTAGGTCTTTGGTTATTCGGGTTTTCTCCCGCATAAAATTGCTCCTAGAAGCATGAAGCCAAAAACACCAGCCTGAAAATGACGAATGTGACTTCGTCGAAACGTCGCCAAGACACTTCCAATTTTACACGGGAGAAAACCCAAATAACCAAAGACCTACATATAAAGACTTCTCTCTCTCCCATATTTGGGCTGACAGGGTGTTCAAAAAGCACTCATCCTCTTCCCCTGTCTCTTGTAGCTAACAAAGTGAGAAAGAGCCTGTGGCTAAGGGGCTAATACTTCTGCTTAACATGCAGACAGCCCAGGTTCGAATCTCGGAAGGGTATGTCTGGCTGATGAAAACCAAATAAGGTTAGAAATAGCTATCCCAGTACTCCCTTAATTCTTTGTTAGCAATCCAAATTTTGAAAAACACATATGATGTCGCAGTTAAGTGACTGCTGCCTGTGGATGGCTGTGGATTGAGCTGATGCAGGCAAAAGACTTCTCTCTCTCCCATATTTGGGCTGACAGGGTGTTCAAAAAGCACTCATATATATATATATATATATATATATATATATATATATATATATATATATATATATATATATATATATATATATATATATCACAATAAAGTGATCACCAGGAAGTATAAAACAATACAGTTTTAATAAATAAAACCAAGCTGATTATACCCTGACGATGATGGCAGTTTTTAGGCCATCGAAAGCTTGGTTTTATTTATTAAAACTGTATTGTTTTATACTTCCTGATGATCACTTTGTTGTCTTTTTAAAAATATGTTCATACCCAGGAATCGATCTTCTATTTTTAATGTTAATCTTATATCACTCATTTTTAAACTAAAATCACTAATTATTGTAATTTTTATTTAAAATGTTTCTATCAACTCCTTGATAATTGCATATTCTGCAATGCTAAATTACAGAATGTTCTTTTAGGGTGAGATGAGAAGTTTTCACAAGTTATGACTTCTATATGCTTGTGTCAAACATCAGGATCATCACACCTATTTAATATTGCACTTTGATGACATCACAGTTTGCTAAAGATGCCACTTGTAATGAAGATGCCTGATGGGAGTTTTTAACACAGTACAATAATGGCACATTTATTGACATCCATAATCTGGATGTTCTACTTTTCTCCTGTTCTCTCCCTCTCCCTCTCTCCAGTTCTCCCTTAATTCTTTGTTAGCAATCCAAATTTTGAAATATATACACACACACACACACACACACACATGCTTTGAAATGTACGTTCTGAATCCTCCTCTAAACAAAAAAGGACCAGTCCTGGCTCAGCTGCAGTAACAGGTGGTTTCTGAACATTGATATCCAAAAATAGTAATGATTATGGATTTAAAGTTATTTAAATGTCTTTCTATTCAAATTAACACAAACCTAGCATTCAATGAAATGTCATATGCAAGGCAAGAGATTCCTTTCAACTAATTACAAAGGCAAAACAGCTCCAGCCTTGAGATAGGGAAATGGGATTTGTGGGGGAGAACTGCAGATGGGTAAGTATTCAGCATCTCTCTACTAAATTTCCCATGCACGTAGATCAGCATTTGTTCCATCTGGTAAACATGGGCTGTAAGGCATATAAAAGTTGTGTTCAAACACAGGCTAAGATTTATGTCAAGTCTTGGGAAATGTTGATTCAAAATTGCACTTGCACACTAGGTGCTGATTAAAAGTAAAAGTATGGATAGTAAAAATCTCACTGGAAAGAACTGAAAATCCATTTATTTCCTTGGTCATGCACACTTCCTTCCTCTGGAACGAGCTGCCCCCAGAGATCCGGGTGATTCCGGATCTCCCCTCCTTTCGCCGCGCCCTTAAGACCTGGTTATTTCAGCGGGCAGGACTGGCCTAGGGGTATTTTAAATTGGTTTTAACAAAATTTTTAGTATAAGCGGCCTATTGAATATCTATTTTTAATTACTTTTAAATTTTGTATTATATTGTATTATTGTTTTTAAGCTGGCTGTAAGCCGCCCTGAGTCCTCCGGGAGAAGGGCGGGGTATAAATTTAATAAAACTAAACTAAAACTAAACTACATAATGTCCAGGGAATTCTCCTCATAAACCTTTTTACTAATCTTGCCTTTGGCAATCATGTTGTTTGTTTCTCTTCTGGTTAAAACAAAAGCAAACAAGCAAAAATCATTTCCATTATCAGCCAATTGCGTTTATATATTTGGTAAAGAGCAAGGAAAATTATTGAATATGAATATGCTGTTCAGTTAGCTGTTACCTAGACAAAAGAGACTGAAGCTTTTAAAAATTTTAAAGTTCAAAACAGATAACATTCAGAAGTGGTTCAGGCATATGCCTCCCTGATTCACTGGAGTATAAGAAGGGAGATAATAAGCTACACAGTCAGATCTGCAAAATTCTGTTATTATAAAAGTAGTGTTAGTCTTTCCTGTGGCTTTCCTAGTCAGGTATACCTAGTGGGGCTGACTAGCCTACTTACAATGTAAACTTCACAATAATTTTTGTGTGAGATAATTGGCAACAAAAGTATCTTTTTTTTTCATTTGTATTGTTTCTGGTGAAAACTGACTTCTCATAAACATTGTACTGCCCATAATATACAAAGGTAACCTTAGTTTTAAAAAAAGCAGTTTTATTTTCTGTCTACTTAAAATAATCAGTGAATAAAGAATTCAGATTGTCTTCCTTTGGGCAAGGTACATTGCCTTTTCCAACTTGTGAGCTGAAGCACTCACCAATTCCATAATGAACAAGGTCATAATGGATTAGTGCAGCGGTGCTGTTTTTAGCCAGCATTCAGTATTGTAAAAATATACAGTTTATATTATTTCATGCTGAATATCCACTACTAGACATTGGTAGCTAGTTCTTTCTATGATGCTTACAAGCTGTTTATGTGCCCAGGCCTAGTGTCTGTCCCTTGCACTTGGAATTCAGGAAAGTATTTCTTTGTTAAATAGATATTCTAGTAATCTTGGTCTAATTTTCTCTATTAATTTGTTCAAATTTTTTAAACCAAATCTTAGAGAAAAATAAGTGATGTCACAAGTCAGTTGTCCCTCTCCTAACATCCGGCTTACTAAAGACTTGCTAAAAACTTAATTCTTACTCCACCCAAGCCCTATCCTGCTTTCTGATGCAGGTGTTTTTACAGGAAACCACACACATGAGATACTGCAAAAATTTAATTTCATTTCCTCCTCAATTTGGTTTTAGCTGAATTTGCCACTTATATATAAATACAAGATTTTAAAATTCTTTAGGTTCACTCTTCGAACCTCCCTGTCCACATTAAATTTTATATTAATATAGGCCTGTGGAAAGGAAAGTACAAAGTAAACATAACTCAAACGTAATTATGTAGGCTTAGATTAGAAACATAAATCTAGGCGAGATCTAGGTGATATCACAGGCAGAAAGTTAGCAAGTGGCTGTAATTTATATTGGAGACGTTTAAAGCAATTTAACACAGCCATTTCAATAAACCATTAGAAGTATTGAAGAATGGTCCATGATTACTTTCACTGAAGGTACCAAGGACCTTAAAGAGAAATCCAGCCCAATAACGAAAACTGCTAAAGTCAGCATTCTGGCTAGGGGCACACTAAAGTATTGAGGAATGGGATAAGGCAGGAGTTTCTGCAGCAAGGAAAGCAATCTACCCCAAGTTCCACATAATTACATTGTAACTGATTGAAATATGGAAAACAAACTTATTTAGTTATTTATTCATTTACTTACTTACTTACTTACTTACTTACTTACTTACTTACTTACTTACTTACTTACTTACTTATAATCCCACCTTTATTATTTCTTCAATAAACAACTCAATACAGTGAAGATACGTCCTCTTCCTATTTTTCTCCACAACAGCAAGTGGGTTAGGCTGAGAGACAGTGACTGCTCCAAGGTCACCCTGCTAGCTTTCATGGCTAAGGTGGAATTAGAACTCATGATCTCTCTCACTTTCTCTCAAGATGCCTAGACCAAACTGTCTCAAATAACTTCTTTTGACTCACATAGCCAAACTGGAAGTAAATAGGTTCTATTGCATAATAATATTGGCAACCTGGAATCACAGTGGCTGGGAACATAGCTAAGAAGCATCCTAAGTGCTGATCTGTGAACTGTGCCAAGAAGAACCCTAACTGTTCTACTATAGATTTGTATATAACTCTACAGATCTTATTCAGAAGAATGATATCTATTGCACCATTTGAAAAAAGACAATCTGAAAAGTCTTATACAATTGACATATCACCTGCTTTTAAGGACATTCATTTTTTTTCAAAATGCAATCTGAGTTTAAAGAGTGATTTGGAGGTTTCTACATCACAGAAACAACCTTATTAAAAAGCCTAAACAATGACAAAGAACCTAAGAGTGTCTAACATAAAGAGAAGACCAGTAATACTTGCTGACATTCTGAAAATTATACTCTATCCTGTTATATTGTTATGCAGTTGGCTGCTATCCACACTTGATGTGTGGCCTTCAATGAAGTAGACCTGGTGGAGGGAAGAATGCAGTGGAGTACCTCAAGGTTTCATCTTGGGCCCAGTACAGTTCTACTTTTAGGAAAGAAAAACCAAAACAGATATAGAATAGGTGGTAACTGGCTCAATAGTATTAACTATGAGAGGGATCTTGGAGTCCTAGTGGAGTATCACTGCACTTTTGGTGCTGCAGTACCAAAAAAAGTCAAAGCAGTCCTAGGCTGCATTAATAGAGGGATAGAATCAAGATCATGTGAAGTGTTAATACCGCTTTGTAATGTCTTGGTAAGACCATAATTGGAACAGTGCATCAGTTTTGGTCACAATATAAAAAAGATGTTGAGACTTTAGAAAGAGAGAAGAGCAACAAAGATGATTAATAGACTGAAGGCTAAAACATATTAAGAATGTTTGCAGGAATTGGGTTTGTCTAGTTTAATGAAAAGGAGGACTAGGTGTGATAGGATAGCAATGTTGAAATATCTAAGGGGCTGCCACAAAGAATTGGGAGTCAACTTATTTTCCAAAGCACCTGAAAGAAGCAATGAATGGAAGCTAATAAAGGAGAGAACCGATCTAGAACTAAAGAGAAATTTTCTGACAATTAGAACATTTAATTAGTGGAACAACTTGCTTCCAGATGTTGTGGATGCTCCAATACTGGAGGTTTTTAAGAAGAGATTGGACAGCCATTTGTCTGAAATGGTATTGGGTTTCTTGCTTGAGCAGAGGGTTGGACTAAAAGATCTCCACAGTCCCTTCCAACTCTATTATTCTGTTATTCAACATCTTCATAAATGACCTAGATCAGAGGATTGAAGGGGCACATCAAATTTGTGGATAACACCAAACTGGAGGGAATTGCTACAGTTTGGAAGATATACTCAAGATTCAGAATGATCTTGACAGGCTTGAGCATTGGACTCTATGCAATAAGATGCAATTCAGTGATATAAATATCAACCAGAATAGAACTGGAAAGGATTTTGGAGGTCTTCTAGTCCAACCTCCCACTCAAGCAGGAGATTCATTTCAGAAAAGTGATTGTCCAGTCATTTAGGTAGGAAAAACAAGAACAGGTACAGAACAGAAAGTGTTGGACTCTACAGTAGAGCCTGTGACACTCCTGGTGGACCATTACTTAAGTATGAATCAGTAGTGTGCTGCAGTTGCCAAAAGCTCAATACAATCCTAGGATACATCAACAGAGGGATAGAATCAAGATCACAGGAGGGGATAGTATTTGGAATACTACATCCAGTTCTGATCACTCCAATACAAATAGATGTTGGGATCCTAAAAAGTATGCAGAGAAGAGCAGCAAAGATGATAAGGAGTCTGGAGCAGGAGTGAGATTCAGCTGGTTTGCACACTTAGAACGCTAGCTAATTTTTTGTTGCCCAGGCCCAGAAGTGGCATCCACACAGAGAACTGGTTGTTCACATATTTGAATCCCACCACTTGTCTGGAGTCTAAATTGCATGATGCATACTTATGAGAACTAGGTATGTTTAGCCTAAAAAAGAGAAGTCTTACAGATGACATGTTAGCCATGTTCTAATACTTGAAGGGCTGTCACATGGAAGAGGGAGTCAATTTATTCTCCATAGCACCTGAGGGCAGGACAAGAAGTAAGGGATAGAACGTTATCAAACAGAAATCCAACCTAGAACTAAGGAGGAATTTCCTGATAGTGAAAACAGTTAACCAATGGAACAGCTTGCCTCATGGAGTTGTGGGTGCCCCACTGTTGGAGGTTTTCAAGAAAAGCTGGATAATAAAGATTCTTGCCTTGGGTGGAGGGTTGGACTGGAAGACCTCCAAGGCCCCATCCAGCCCTATGATTCTGTGTTTCTAAGATTCTACAATTTTATGATTCTATTCTATGTTGGTTACTTGGCTACAATAAAAATCTTAATTTTGTCTTCTGCGTTTGGGTAACAGTGTTACTTGCTCTTTAATATGTACATTTTTAATGACCGTCTCTTAAATGTTTTATATAGTTTAGAAATATATAACATAGAGGTATCTAGAAGGATTTAAAATTCCAACTCTAGTGGATTATGAAATACCCAGGTCTTTAGTAGATCTCCAACTTGCATGTTATTTTCTCTCTCCTCAAACAGTAATGCCCCTTCAAGTGTCTCCCCTTACAATTGTTTCCAGATGTAACAAATCCCTTTCAGAAAAAAAATTGTGTAAGCCAATTTCACTGCAAAAAATGAGAATTCAAGTCTAAGGAAATCTAAGCAAGGAAATTTAATCAGTCTTAGACTAATTATAAAACTAAAGATCATTAAATTTAGAAAATATTGATAGATAGTACTTGACAGATAAGATAAAATTATTTCTCTGGTTTATATTTGCTGTTTCATATAAAAAAAACTTGTAATAGAAATCTAAATATGGTTTTGAATTTAAAATGTGTCACATAGGCTTATTGTTCTGTGAGAGAAAGGAAGATCTGTGCATACCAACAAGTATGCTTCTTTTTCATTTTCCCCCCAATTTTTGTTTTTAAAAATCCATTACTAGGTTTGAAGTGGTAAACATTAATGATATCCTGATCTGCATATAGTCATTACAAAACATTGAAGCACCTGTCCTGACAATAACAATAGTGCTATGGTCTTGTAGAAAACCAAACAAATTTGAAGATGGATGAGATTCCCTACTTCTTTTTAAGTCATATTCTTTATATATCCCATCTCACCAGAAACTTGGGACATGTCTTGAGTCTCATCTGTTTCCATTTTCCTCAAATTATCTGGAAAAAAAGAGAAAAAGAACAATTTTAAGTTTAATGTGAAATATAAAATCACAGGAGAGAGCTGAGAGAACAGAAAGAGAAAGGAATTGCTATTTAACTATGAGATTATCTGCCAGGACTAATGTTTTCCCCCTTTCTTTCCAATTCTGCATATTTGTGGGGTATCAGTCTGGTACAGACCTTGATCCTTTTAAAAAGAGCATTACAAAGATTTATAAAAAAATATCATTACAAGCACAGGAAGACCAAATTTGTTATTTATTGTTAATTTCCTACTGCATAATGACCCAAAATGCAAACTGACTGCAACAAAATTAAGCAGAAAATTAAATGGCCCTGGGTCATTGTAGGCAAAGAATTCATTCTCTTGGCTGATCCATAGTTATGTTCTTTCTAATTTACTGAGCATGCATCGATGAACTTTGAGTCAGCTTGGTGACACGCGTACAATCAGCAATCAAAACCAAAGCAATTTGCTGAAGAATGTCTCATTTACCCAGCCAGGCCTGCATATCTGAACAGCAACCGCCACTACCTCCATTAATAATGAATACACCTCAAACAGTGGCAGATGGGCAAAACAGCAGCTTCAGTCTTTTGGCCTTCTCTTTTTCAACCATCTTTGCTTCAAACCACACCAGCTTTCTTCCACATGGGGAATGGAAGCGCTCCCCAAAATAGCAAACTGAACCCTAGAGAGAAAAGGAACTTAGGTTTTTCTGTTTTACTGACAGATGGCTTGACTCCACAGATATGCAACCAATAGTGGGAAGCTGCTTGGCCTTCTGTTACAACATGTAATGTTCCAAAGAATAAAGTTGCAAAGTGGTCACAAACACCAGGGAAACATGCCCAAGGTAGTGAGGCAGAAATAAAGCCTAGCTCTGGCCTTGGGGCATAATGCTAGAGGTCTAAGTTCTCTAGAGCCTGGATAGACATCTGCTGGCTATTTGGCCAAAAAATAAAAAATAAAATAAAGTATTCTCAGCATATATAAGAATGAACTCATTCAGTAACACAGGTAGCCTCTTTTCAAAAGCATAGTTCAGATCAGGTTTCCTAGCTTCTACATCTTCTTTAAACTACTAAGGGCTTTATCCAGTACTTTTTTTTCAGACATCTACAGAATTGTAACTTGATTGTCACAGAAGCTTTGGAAACAATCTTTGACGTGCAATACACAAATGATTTCCAATAGAACACTGTTTTCTCCAATTGGCTAGCTTGAGACTTACCAAGCTGAACAAAAAAATATGAAATCTTTATTTTCCTTACAAAAAAAAAGTTTTGTCAAGTTGTCAAGTTCCAGTAAGCTAAAAATATGGTTGATGGGCTGCATTTGGTTTGGTGAGTTAAATGTTATGCTGCTCTGAGCTGTTGGATCTGGATGTTCGGAAGGCTATATTGAATTCTGGACACCTATTATGACTTGGTCTGAACTTAGGGGGCATTCTATAACTCTAAAGTTAGAATGCAGCAGTCAGGAATGGCTTGTGTAATCCATTTAACACCAGCTTGAAAGAAATCACCAGGCCTTTGTTCAAGACCTTTAAAATCCTAAATGGTCTGGAATATGTAGTACTTAGATTTCAGTAAGGCATTTGACAAAGTAGACCATAACCTGCTGCTTAGTAAGCTAGAAAAAGATGGGATAGACAACATCACCACCAGATGGATCTGTAGCTGGCTGACAAACCACACTCAGCAAGTAGTCCTCAATGGTACTACATCCACATGGAGATAAGTAAGCAGTAAGATACCACAAGGCTCCGTCTTAGGCCCAGTACTTTTTAATATCTTCATAAATGACTTAGATGAGGAAACTCATCAAATTTGTAGATGACATTAAACTGGCAGGAATAGCCAACATCCAGAAGACAAGCTCAGAGATCCAAAAATATCTTGAGAAGCTGGAATAATGGGCCCTATCCAACAAAATGAATTTTAATGTGGAGAAAAGCAAAGTTTTACATTTAGGCAGGAAAAGTCAAAGGTATAAGCAGTGGTGGGATTCAGCCGGTTCGCACCAGTTCGGCAGAACCAGTACCTAAATGTTGTTGAGTTTGGAGAACTGGCTGAATGCACACTGCTTCCAGAAGTCTGTCCTAGGTGTTGGAGGACTGGTGGAGGTCTCCCAGCCTAGAACGGCCCGCCAGAAGTGCGTGGATGTCACTTCCAGAAGTTGGTTTTAGACCTTGGAGGCCCAGGTCTACATCCACGCACAGAACCGGTTGTTCAGATATTTGAATCCCACCACTGGGTATAAGTACAGATTAGGCAAGACCTGGTACAAAAACATTAACTGTGAGAGGGATCTTGAGTCCTGGTGTCCTTGACTATGAGCCAGCAGTATGCAACAGCAGCCAAAAAAGCTAATACAATCCTGGGTTGTATAAACAGAGGCATAGAATCAAGATCACACGAAGTATTAATACCACTTTATAAAACCCTAGTAAGACTACACCTGGAATACTGCAGCCAATTTTGGTCACCATACTACAAAAAAAAAATATTGAGACTTTGGAAAAAGTTCAGAGAAGAACTAAAATGATCAAAGGCCTGGAGACTAAAACATATGAAGAATGGCTGCAAGACTTGGGTTTGGCTAGTCTAAAGAAAAGAAGAAATAGGGGTGACATGATAGGAGTATTCCAGTATTTGAGGGGCTGACACAAAGAAGAGGGGGTAAAACTATTCTCCAAAGCACTAGAGGGCAGGACAAGAAACAATAGTTGGAAACTGATCAAAGAGAGAAGCAATCTGGAATTAAGGAGAAACTTCCTTAATTAGCAATTAACCAATGGAACAGCTTGGCTTCAGAAATCGTGGGTGTTCCATCACTGGAGGTTTTTAAGAAGAGACTAGACAGAAATGGTATAGGTTCTCCTGCTTGAGCAGGGAGCTGGACTAGAAGTCCTCCAAGGTTCCTTCCAACTCTATTCTATTCTATTCTATTCTATTCTATTCTATTCTATTCTATTCTATTCTATTCTATTCAGAATGTTCTTTCCTTGCATTGAATAATTGACATTATCCAAATAATCAAGTTTTGAATTGAGGTCAATCATTCCTGAGTGCTGCTTTAAACATTTCAACTTGTTTTATTAAAAATGATAACATTATAGTGATGGTAATTATTTGGTATTTTTAAAATTAATTAAATTATTTTCAATTATGTTGAATTATTTTGTTGAGTCTACCTCATGCTAAAATTCAAAATACTGGGGTCACTTTTTTAATGAATAAAATGAATAATAAAATATATCTCAGAATTCCTTTAAAGAAGACATAATACAAGATTTAAATAGATCTTTAGGCCTGAGACAGATCAACCTCTATTTTCTACTTCAATTTTACTCAGCTGCCACTCTTGTTCAGACAGATATTTCTGAATCTGTTATGGATTTTCCATCCCTACATTGTACAAGATTTGGATATTTTTAACACACATTTCTCTTGGACACTGGTGAATATTTACCAAACATTTATCTGGCAAATGCTATACAGAATTCAGAAGGGAAAAATGTAGGGTTTTTCCTTGCTAAAAGTGAAACCCATTGACATCCTACATATAGATAGTATCCTGGAAAAATGAAGAACTGATTACTCCATGACTTGAAAAAAGAGTCTTAACCTATGATTTAAAATACCACAAAACTCATAAATAAAAGAGATGAGGATGCATAAAAACTTACATACTTCACTATTAGCAACAAAATAGCACTCTCTATCAGCTGAGGATGGGAGCCTTATTTAGAGCAGCAAGCCAGCTCCTCATTGTCCTTAATGAAGATTCATATGGAAAGATTCACAGGAACAGTCATGTTCATATGATGATAATATATGTGTTATATTCATGCTATAAGATACGCATATGGATCACTATGGGGCTATAATGCATTTAATGTTAAACACATGTAAGTGATTAATTCAACATGAGTTAAACTGTTCTAGTCTTCTACTTTGCTTCTATCTAAAATTTATCTATATTTATTTATTTAAAATTTATTTATATTTATTTATCTAAAATAAATATACCTTCAGTATATGTTGCTTATAATGTATATTAGTTATTTGCTTTATGTTGTTTTCACTTTTCCTTTTTTGGATATTGATTTTCTTTTTATCTTTATTGTTGTATGCCACCCAGAATCACAAATTGTGAGAAGAGATGCTTATAATTTTTAAAAATCAACAAACAATAAATGTTGATTTTACTATACATATAAGGCATGAGCCAATACATTTGTGCATATGAAACCAGCTTTGTTTCACTATAGCTGTCTTGTAATAAATATTCCAAACTAGCAGGCAAACAGAAAGGAATATCTTTCATTATCACGGTATCAAGCAAAGTTATAGTTCTATCAAAGGACTTGAAAGAGTTGTATATGGGAGAGTTGCATATGTAATACCCTTAAATGTTATATTGAAGTCAAGAAACTTAAAATAATTCATCTTTGGTAATATCAGTTTGCATTTTTAAAAGATATATCTGTATTTTATATTATATATGAATATCATCTAAAAAACTAGATTTGCCGGGTAATCAAATAATGTTTTGCCAGAATCTTCTAACAAAATATCATGTTTTTACAAATGTACATCAATTAAGTTATACGTAAACAGAAAAGATCCACCGTTTTAACCTTATTGCCTTCCTTCTTGTGCTATGGACAAATAATAATTATTTTCTTATTCTGTCTTTCTGATAATTCTTGTTATTATTTTTAAAAATAGGATACAAATGTATTTTAAAAAACCAGCAGGCAAAACTGCAATATATGAAGCTGGAACAGAACATCTCAAAGTTTATTTTCCACATTATACAGCAAATTTCAATCATGCACAGCTTTCCCATAAAGAAAAAGCATGATTGTAAAATTTATGAAACCTATCTTGGAGTAGTAAAGACTATGGATGCTAGATTTTTGCAGGTCCTGCAGTTCAGGCCTCTGATTAAGCTGGAATCCCCCAAAAGTC